GGCGCCGAGCCAAGTCCTAATTTTTGGAAAGAATGCACGAACGGGCCGGAGAACATGAAAGGAAATATACGGTTTTCGGCTGCCATGTGGCTATTTCACCAGAATATGAGTTTTATATTATTTTTGTTAATTTTATAATGTTAAACTGTAATAATAACAAATAATTGTTGAGAAGTGATTATCGAGAACTGCTTATCAAAGTTTGCATTGTTGTCAGGCCCTGCCTGGCCTCGTCCCTGACCCGCCCCCGCCCCGCCATGTTGTCCTGCCTTCCCGATGTTAAAATCTGGTCACCCTAATATAATACCTTGTTGGGACTCACCAGATTTGGAGAAATTCATTTTATGCAGAGAACAAATTCTTATGCTGCAGCTTTTGGTGCAGGGCCTGGGGGGGATGGTGCAGGAGAAGGAAGAGTCAGCTGACTGTGCAAGATGGGGAGAGTGTGGCATCTCTCAGGTTCTGACTGTTTTGAGGACCACATCAGTTCTGGATACTTAGCAGCTTAAATAAATTCAGATATTTTGCTTACAGTGGCATATATGTATATTTAAACAAGGCACTAACTATGGTGGGCTTCAGTTCCCGTGGAAAATGAGCAGGTTGGAGACAGGTTATCAAGTTTCCCCAAAATTCGGTGCTTCTATATATAGTCATCCCCAAAATTCAGTGCTTCTGTATAACTGTTTGTCTTAAGACAGCAGTTCTCAACCTGTGGGTCCTGAGACTCTCATTTTAAAAAGGGAAACAAGCTTTGTTCATTTTCATGTCATCTTGACTGTTGTATATTTTTGTCATGTACTTTCTCCTGTATGTTTTAAACTTATGAATTGAACAGGAGAGAGGAGACACTGTATTTTCTTTGCTTTTTAAAAGTATTTATGGTTAATTGCAGTTGAGTTCTTGACCTCTTTTCTCAAGTCTTTTATAAGAATACTAAGTTTAAGTTAGGTTGTGGTTCTAAAGGTTTAGAACATATCTTGTTAATTTGATACAGGCAAAATACTGTCATACTAAGATAACTTGGAATAGTTTTCTAAGTGTCACTATTTTGACAAAAAGTTAAGAGTTTTTTTTTCAGAGACAGAGTCTCACTTTGTCGTCCTCAGTAGAGTGCCATGCTCTATCTCACAGCAACCTCCAGCTCCTGGCTTCTCTTGCCTCAGCCTCCCGAGTAGCTGGGACTACAGGCACCCTCCACAATGCCCAGCTATTTTTTGTTGCAGTTTGGCCAGGGCTAGGTTCGAACCAGCCAGCCTAGTATATGGGGCTGGTGCCCTAATCACTGAGCTACAGGCACCACCCAAGTTAAAAGAGTTTTTTGTTTTTGTTTTTTTTTTTGAGACAGAGCCCAAGCTGTCCCCCTGGGTAGAGTGCTATGGCTTCACTGCTCACAGCAACCTCCAACTCCTGGGCTCAAGCGAGTCTCCTGCCTCAGCCTCCCAAGTAGCT